TGTGGACGCGCTAGTTCGAATTAGCAAAACGCTAATTCGAACTAGTTTTTAGTTCTAGATGCGTTAGTTCGAATTAGCTTAGTTCGAATTAACTAATTTGAACTAAGTTAGTTCGAATTAGCGCTGTAGTGTAGACATACCCTCCAGAGTTAAGTATCTTACGTCACCCTTCCCCTAGGCTGCGTCTAGACTGGCATGATTTTGCGCAAATACTGTTAACGGAAAAGTTTTTCCCTTTAAAAGTTTTTGCGCAAGAGAGCGTCTATACTGGCATTTGCCTTTGTGCAAAAGATTTGCATTCAGTGACAGGTCCCAGTATCTGTACTTGGGTTTGAATCCGTTTCTTGCTGGTACACTCCATAAGTCAACATTCCATCCTTGCTATCTTTCTCAGGAGTTCTTCTGCTACTGTACAGACAGATCAGCTGGCCTGGTGCAAGCATTTCTTTCATTGATGAAATAGGCCACATGGTGGTCAGAGAGGGGGAATTCAGCAATGGAGAAAGCAGTGCATGGGGATGGAGTGATAAGAGCTTATATGTGAGGAGATGCTGAGACTGTGAACTTCCACAAGGCTAAGATGAGCAATCTTGGCTAATGAGGAATCATAGAATCATAGAATCATAGGACTGGAAGGGACCTCGAGAGGTCATCGAGTCCAGTCCCCCGCCCTCAAGGCAGGACCAAGCTCCGTCTACACCATCCCTGACAGATGTCTATCTAACCTGTTCTTAAATATCTCCAGAGAGGGAGATTCCACCACCTCCCTTGGCAATTTATTCCAATATTTGACCACCCTGACAGTTAGGAATTTTTTCCTAATGTCCAATCTAAACCTCCCCTGCTACAATTTAAGCCCATTACTCCTTGTCTTGTCCTCAGAAACCAAGAGGAACAAATTTTCTCCTTCCTCCTTGTGACACCCTTTTAGATATTTGAAAACCGCTATCATGTCCCCCCTTAATCTTCTTTTTTCCAAACTAAACAAGCCCAGTTCACGAAGCCTGGCTTCATAGGTCATGTTCTCTAGACCTTTAATCATTCTTGTCGCTCTTCTCTGTACCCTTTCCAATTTCTCCACATCTTTCTTGAAATGTGGCGCCCAGAACTGGACACAGTACTCCAGCTGAGGCCTAACTAGTGCAGAATAGAGCGGCAGAATGACTTCACGAGTTTTGCTTACAACACACCTGTTAATACAACCTAGAATCATATTTGCTTTTTTTGCAACAGCATCACACTGTTGACTCATATTCAACTTGTGGTCCACTATGACCCCTAGATCCCTTTCCGCCATGCTCCTTCCTAGACAGTCGCTTCCCATCTTGTATGTATGGAACTGATTGTTCCTTCCTAAGTGGAGCACTTTGCATTTCTCCTTATTAAACCTCATCCTGTTTACCTCTGACCATTTCTCTAACTTGCTAAGGTCATTTTGAATTATGTCCCTATCCTCCAAAGAAGTCGCAACCCCACCCAGTTTGGTATCATCTGCAAACTTAATAAGAGTACTCTCTATCCCAATATCTACATCATTGATGAAGATATTGAACAGTACGGGTCCCAAAACAGACCCTTGAGGAACTCCACTTGTTATCCCTTTCCAGCAGGATTTAGAACCGTTAACAACAACTCTCTGACTACGGTTATCCAGCCAATTATGCACCCACCTTATCGTGGCCCTATCTAAGTTATATTTGCCTAGTTTATCAATAAGAATATCATGCGAGACCGTATCAAATGCCTTACTAAAGTCTAGGTATATGACATCCACCGCTTCTCCCTTATCCACAAGGCTCGTTATCTTATCAAAGAAAGCTATCAGATTAGTTTGGCATGACTTGTTCTTCACAAACCCATGCTGGCTATTCCCTATCACTTTATTACCTTCCAAGTGTTTGCATATGATTTCCTTAATTACCTGCTCCATTATCTTCCCTGGGACAGACGTTAAACTGACCGGTCTATAATTTCCTGGGTTGTTCTTATTCCCCTTTTTATAGATGGGCACAATATTTGCCCTTTTCCAGTCTTCTGGAATCTCCCCTGTCTGCCATGATTTTTCAAAGATCATAGCTAAAGGCTCAGATACCTCCTCTATCAGCTCCTTGAGTATCCATATGAGTCAACAGTGTGATGCTGTTGCAAAGAAAGCAAACATGATTCAGGGATGCATTAACAGGTGTGTTGTGAGCAAGACACAAGAAGTCATTCTTCCGCTCTACTCTGTGCTGGTTAGGCCTCCGTTGGAGTATTGTGTCCAGTTCTGGGCACCACATTTCAAGAAAGATGTGGAGAAATTGGAGAGGGTCCAGAGAAGAGCAACGAGAATGGTTAAAGGTCTTGAGAACATGACCTATGAAGGAAGGCTGAAAGAACTGGGTTTGTTTAGTTTAGAAAAGAGAAGATTGAGGGGGGACATAATAGCAGTTTTCAGATATCTAAAAGGGTGTCATAAGGAGGAGGGAGAAAACTTGTTCATCTTAGCCTCTGAGGATAGGACAAGAAGCAATGGGCTTAAACTGCAGCAAGGGAGGTTTAGTTTGGACATTAGGAAAATGTTCCTAACTGTCAGGGTAGGCAAACACTGGAATAATTTGACCAGGGATGTTGTGGAATCTCCATCTGTGGAGATGTTTAAGAGTAGGTTAGATAAATATCTCTCGGGGATGATCTAGACAGTACTTGGTCCTGCCATGAGAGCAGGGGACTGGACTCAATGACCTTTCGAGATTCCTTCCAGTCCTAGTGTTATATGATTCTATGATCACCTTCTGAGTATGTTTTTCCTCATTTTTTCACGAAGCTCTTTGGTTTTGACTCCATATACGATTGGGTTGAGCATGGGGGGGACCAGGACATAGATGTTGGCCAAGATGACATGAACGTGGGGAGCGATTCCCTGACCGAACCGGTGTGCCACAGTGGAGAAGATGTAGGAAGTATAAGACATCAGCATCACACAGATGTGGGTGGAGCAGGTGTTGAGGGCTTTCTGGTAGGCTTTCTTGGAAGAGATTCTAAGAACGGCCCTGATGATCAGACAGTAGGACAGAGCGATGAGCGTAAGGTCTAGCCCATCAATTATAAGCGTTACCACCAAGCCATAGAGCCTATAGAATGTGAGGTCCCCACATGAGATCTTTGCCAGAGCGATACCCTCACAATATGTATGAGGGATGATGCGGTTGGCACATATTTGTAGTCTGCTTAGCATTGGGGGCACGGGCAGCGCACAGACAATCCCTCTTATTAAACTGACCAGCCCTAGCACAGCTATCCGTGGTTGGGTTAGGATGCTGGTGTATCTCAGAGGGTTACAAATGGCAACGTGGCGATCGAAGGCCATTGTCACCAGGACGGCTGAGTGCATTGCAGACGCCGTGGTGAGGAACGTAATTTGGGTGATACAGCCGCTCAGAGTGATTCCTTTCAAATTGAACCAAAATATACACAGGGCTTTTGGCACAATGCAAGTAGACATGCTGATGTCGGTGAGCGCCAGCATGCAGAGCAGCAGGTATATCGGCTGGTGCAGGGTCTGCTCTTTGAATACAACAAGTGGAATGGAGACATTTCCCAAGAGGCAGATTATGTAGCAAGTAGTGAATGGAATGGAAATCCAGACATGAGCATCTTCCAGACCAGGGATGCCTGTTAGGGTGAATGTTGATGTGTCAGAGGGGGTGAGGTTGAAAGCTGCCATGAGGTGGTGGATGAGACAACAAGGTTCAGGAATGCATGGGGAGTCTGTGAATAAAGAGAAGAACAGTGAGAGGGGATTATACTCACAGTAAATATTTTATTGAAACAAAATACAGGACTATGTAGCACTTTAAAGACTAACAAGATGGTTTATTAGGTGATTAAAGATGTCATCGATGTAGTGTAAGTAAAGAAGAGGTAAAAGGGGACAGGAGTTGAGGAAACGTTGTTCTAGGTCAGCCATAAAGATATTAGCATACTGTGGGGCCATGCGTGTACCCATGGCTGTGCCGCTGATCTGGAGGTATAAGTTGTACCCAAACTGGAAATAATTGTGGGTGAGAACAAAGTTACATAGTAAACCATCTTGTTAGTCTTTAAAGTGCTACATAGTCCTGTATTTTGTTTCAATAAAATATTTACTGTGAGTATTTGGTATTGCTGATCTAAAAAGTGACACTGTTGCAAAAATAAAAGCAAACATAATTCTGGGATGAAGTAATATGAATGTTGCAAGCAAGACACAAGTTGTAACCATTCCACTCTACTCTGAACTGCTTAGGCATCAGCTGGAGTACTATGTCCAGCTCTTGGCATCATATTTCAGAAAAGATGTGGAGAAATTGGAGACGTTCCAGAGAAGAGCAACAAAAGAATTTAAGTTCTAGTAAACCTGACCTACGAGGGAAGATTGAAAGGGTTAGGTTTGTTTAGCCTGAAAACGTGAAATCTGAGAGGAAATCATAGAATCAGAGGATATGTCTAGACTACGTGCCTCTGCCGACAGAGGCATGTAAAATAGGCTACCTGACATAGTCAATGAAGCGGGGATTTAAATATCCCTGGCTACATTAAAATAAAAATGGCCACCACGCTGTGCCGGCTCAGCTGATCGTCGACCCAGCACGGCAATTAAGATGTGTATAGGATGACAAGGGAAGACATTGTTGACCACTCCTTTATGCCTATTGAGCCGGCTTCATTGACTATGTCGGGTAGCCTGTTTTACGTCCCTCTGTTGGCAGAGGCATGTAATCTAGACGAACCCCTTAGGTCAGTTCCTTTCCTCCTCAATTTCCTGACTGGCAAAGTGAGCACCATTTGGAGCCAACATAGAGGGCCTAAGTATGTCTCCTCAGGGGACAGCACAAGGACTGCATGGCCCTTCTCCCCGCACCCTAGCACCAGAACAGGAAGTGAGTTTGACTCTGCCATCACAGGCCTCCTGGACCTGAACACTGTAGGGTAAATTGAGGCAGCTCATGGTATTTTGCTGAGAACTGACAAACTCAAATCTGAAAGTATCAGACCAAGTCTGAGAAGCATACAGTACAGCAGTTACTGTGACCCTGGTTCCCCTGGCAACCACATTCCAAAATGGCCTCACTTTGATAAGGCCGGTACCAAACAACCAAACAACCGCGCGGGATTGTTTTTCATTGTCTGCTTTGTTCCTAGAAAATAAGCTTGGTTCCCAAAGATTGCGCCAAGGCAATACCCGCAGGAGATTCATTTTATTTCCGGACGACAAAATGACCATCAACATGTCTTTGTTTATGTGGGCTTATTTAGCTTGTTAGGAATAACAACCTGTATTAGTGATAACATGTTTAATTGGCGATGGGCGGAGATACTGTGTAACTGTCGTAGACCATTGGCTTATGTGCATATCTCACTTCCGCTGCTAGACCTATCAAATCACTTCTCCTCCGCCCATCTGCTACCTATATAATCTAATGTATGTTTTGGTTAAGTTAGTGCTCACCAGGTTAACTCCTGATGGGTATTCCACCAGCTGTGTGAACCAATAAATTCTCTGCTTGTTTTCACCTGCACCCAGTGTGCCCAAGAAATTATTACCTACAGGCACATGCTGATCCACGAAGGCTGTCAAACATCTGAAGCCAGAAGGACAACCATAGCACAAGAGAAGCGAGCACTCCATAAAGCCAGAGTTGCAAACGCTGCAACAGTGGTGCCTACACATGTCTGCCCGACATGTGGCAGAACATTTCATGCCTGCATTGGCCTTATTAGCCATCTGCAGACACACCATGGACAGCCCACAACTCGTTAGATGTCAAGGTCCTCTTCAAACACGATGGACGAACATCACCTACAAACACCCACCCTAACAGGATGTAGCTGGGGCAGCACAGACTCCTCCTTCCCTCCCGCGCCCCTGCAGCAAACCCAGAGATTCATAGACGTAAGACCAGACGGGAGCACAGTTTGAGCTGCTGAATGACACAGGCCCTGGAATGTCACCCCCGTTGCAAGCGTGCAACTAATCTTGGCCTAACAAGGATTGGGACCACGGGGTAATGCACACAAATGGCTTTAATTGCTTTAACTGACTCTGGAAGGAGGGGGAAGGGGAGGCTCTCTCACTGTTCACAATCACACTTACAGCCAATGTCTTTATCTATACCTCTGTGATTCAAACTTGTAAATTAAATTAAGTTCTAAGGCTTCCTTGTGGAGCTGGCTTGTGGAATTGGCCTGAAACAACACAGTGACTTTGAGACCCATTAATGAGTGCCCCAGGCAAGATAAATCTGTTAGGGTATGTCTACACTACCCTCCTAGTTCGAACTAGGAGGGTAATGTATGCATACCGCACTTGCTAATGAAGCCCGGGATTTGAATTTCCCGGGCTTCATTAGCATAAGCGGGGAGCCGGGACTCTGGGTCCCTCCTCCCAGACAGTCCGGGGAGCAGTTTTGAAACAAAGGACCCCACCCTTTGTCAGAGCTATATAAGACAGGGGGCGAAATCATCCGTTTTCACTCCCCACACAAGAAAATGCCGGGAAGGAGCTGAGGAAGACAGACTGACCTGGGGGAAGGGCTGGACCCAGGCTGAAGGCGTCTTACCCAGTGTCTGGAAACCTGAGCACCCCAAAGCAAATGCAACTTGGGCCTTGAGAAGCTGCCAGACGGCCGGTCCCATCCCTCCGGGTGAGAATCTGCTTGTTCCTCCTGACTCTGCCCCGTGTGTTCTGCAGAGTTTGTGTTTGGTTAGTTCCTGATTATCTGCTTTGCTGTCCCTGAGACCCACGTCAATCTACTATTTGTAGTTAATAGGGGTATGTCTACACTACCCCGCTAGTTCGAACTAGCGGGGTAGTGTAGACATACCCTTAGTCTTTAAGGGTATGACTACACAACAGTGTTATTTCAAAATATCTTATTTCAAAATAATTATTTCGAAATAGCTTATTTTGAAATAACGCATCCACACACAAAATGCAATTTGAAATAGCATTTTGCTATTTTGAAATAGTGCCTCCATTCTGAGTGGCCTCTGAATCGCATTTAAGGCCAACCAGAACCAGTTCCAGCAGGGCACCAGGCCAGGACTTACTGTGCGAGGCTGCTGCCTGAGGTTATCTGAGGTCTGTGCTTAAAGGGACACTCCCCCTCCCAGACAGCCAGTTTTCATGTTTCCGTGCTTGCTTCTCTACCTCGATGAGGGACAGCAAAGCATTCTGCCTCTGCGTGCTCTGGTTGCCCTCACTCGGGACACCACAGCACTCTGCAATATGAAGCTGGACGTGTTGCTGTGAGACTGGCTGAACTTTCTGCAGGCTGCCATCCAGGAGGTCCACCGGGGGCTGTCAGTATCCAGGAGGCCCTACGGGAGAGCTTCCACCCTGAGGAGCACTAAGAGCCTCTCTGGTCTGCCTCACTGGGGGCTTGTGCCTCATTCCTCCCTCACATCCTTCCACTTATGCCTTCCTAACCCCTATTCCTGATGTCAAATAAAATAAACGTATTTTCATTAACACAAACTCTCTTTATTTAACAAAACTGGGGGGAGAGGGAATGAAACTCTGGTGATACTGGGGAAAGGAGGTGGGAGAGGGGAGAAGAGAGGGTGGGAAAGGGGAGGAGGAAACCTGGGAGGAGGGAGCTGGAAGGGGGAAGCCAGGGGAAAGAAGTGGGAGGGGAATCTCAGGGCTCAGGGTTGGGGGTCTCACCGGACCAACTTGATTTTCATACAAACCTGCTCCTGGGTTCACATGTGGCCTTTGGTGGCCAGGCTGGCAGCTATCCTGCCATAGACGACTGCTTTCCTTCATCTAGTGAGGAGATCATGGACATTGGGGGCATCCTCCCCAACCTGAATAAGGTCCATTATCTCCACCCTGGATCAGGAAGTCGCCCGCCTTCTCCAGCCCCTGTCAGGCTCCTGGGAGCTGGCAGACTGCTCCTGGGGAGCAGTGGAGGGCTGGCTGCCAGTGGCTTCCTGGCTCATGTTTTGGGGCCACTGGATCAGGGGCAGTGACTGCTGGCTCTGGGCTGGCAGGCTTGGAGCTGGCACAGGCACTGTGGCCAGAATCTATCCCTTTAAGGGCTCTGGAGATGGGGGAGGGAGAGGAGTGTTCTCGATTGATGCTGGAGTGGCCACCAGGGCACCCTGGGAAGGCTGGAGGCCCTCTATTTCGATATAAGTGTCTACACAGCACTTATTTTGAAATAGCAATTTCGAATTTGGCGTTATTCCTTGTGAAATGAGGTTTACCAAATTTGAAATAAGCGTGCCACTATTTTGAATAAATTTTGAAATAGCGGCTTGGCTGTGTAGATGCTAGGAAAGTTACTTTGCTGTGTAGACATACCCGAAAGGAATAAGTGAAGACATTAGAACCAATGACATAATACCAACTGGTGGAGAGTGTGTTCTCCCTGTCTACTAAGAAACGGACCAGGGCACATTCAATAAAACGGTATAACCAAAACAGATACAAAAGAACCTGTTCTTCACTCAATGTCCAATTAGTGTGAGGCACTCATTGCCACAGGAGATAGTTGAGGCGATGACCTAAGCAAGATGATTAGGGGTTGGAGCATATGACCTATGAGGAGAGGCTGAGGGAGTTGGGTCTGTTTAGTCTGCAGTAGAGAAGAGTGAGGGGGGATTTTATAGCAGCCTTAACTTCCTGAAGGGAGGTTCCAAAGAGGATGGAGAAAGATTGTTCTCAGTAGTGACAGATGG